GGGGGGGGGGGGGGGGGGGGGATGCACAGATCTCCCTGGGAAGAGGAAATATTTTTTCGGGTGGACTGGAGGGATCGGGTTGGGGTGGGAGTATAGGGGGAGTGTTGAGAGAGATGACTAGAAAAGGAGGCTTTACAGGGTAGGGTAGAAGCCTGATGCAAGGGAGACTTCCACAGGTCTACAAGATCGGTCCCAGCTAAGACTCCTGGAAGCAGTGAATGCATAGCTCTTGAACTGGCCACCCCGTGATTGGATTGGTGGCTACCCTGGTTGTCAAGGGAGAGCCTTCATCCAGGGACTGATGGAGGCAGAGTCAAGAGATCCATGGCCAAACACTGGGGTGAGCTTGTGCTCAGGGAGTCCTTCTGAGGAAAAGGAGGGATTATAGGAGCTAGGGGCATCAGAGGCATCACAGGAAAATCTGGGTGACCACAGATTAAACAGCCTGAGCCCTTCTCTCTCCTCCCATTTTATATTCCCTCCAGTGCTGGGATTTAAGGCGTTACTCCGCCGCTGCCACCTGGATTTGTTTCAGTATTGATCTTGTATAGCTGAGGATGGCCTTGAACTCAGAGATCTATTTGCCTTTGTCTCCCAAATCCTGGGATTAAAGATGTGTGCCACCACTGCCTGACCTCTAGGGGCTTAGCTTTGCCCTTCTGATCTTTAGTAAACTTTATTTATTAAAACATAAATATCACTCACTATACTTGCACTCCATTTTCATATGAAACAGGTGAAGTTCAAAGGTAGCCAAGTAACCCCACAATCAAGAATTTGGTGCTCCATTTACTTGTAAATAGGAAAACTGGAACTTGTCATGCCTGGAGGTCAGGGACCTATGGAAGATTTATTAGCTGCGCCTAACTCCCCACAATTTCACAGCGCACATCCACAGATGCACAAAAGTGCCACACTACTACAAAGGATTCAGGAAGACCAAGTGTGTTAGATCTCAGGGGGTCTGTAAACTGCACTGAACCCAGAGGTTTTGCTTGGCCAATAGGGTTTCCTGCTACTCTTTGTGAGCCAAAGTCTCCTTTGACCCAACTGTCCTTTGCCCAGGCCAATAATATTCCTCATTCTTCCCATGAAGCTCTCAAAATCTAAGAAATACAGGAAATCCTTAGCCCTCACGCTTGGTGAAAACTATTTATACAAAAGCCAATACTGCTGGCATCATAAACTGCAACATGTCAGAGATGGCTAGTAAACTTCATTTCTCACACAAGAGGTCATTCTGACTCACATTCTTAACCTCTTTGGGATAGTTACCAGGTTTCTAGAGTGCCCTACTTTCAAATCCAGAGTTCAGTGACTCGAAAAATGTCAGTTCAGAGTGCTTGCTAACGTTCATAGAGGACCAGCTTCAGTTCCCAGCACCCACATCAGATCAACTACCAGTGGCTCCTGACTGAAAACTTTGGGGGGCCTGATGCCTTCTGGCCTCCAAGGACACCTAAATACACAGAGCATACATACACACAGACACATATACATAAAGCAAAACAAAATGTTTAAAAAACAAGCAAAAAGCAAAGAAGTAGGTATAGATACATACAGCAGCACACTCTAACCCCAAGGTCTGGACATCTCATTAAGTGACAAAGTTAATCCCGGAACATGCAAAGACATGAGCTCAATTTTATAGTTGAGGAAACACTGACTAATTGTGTCCAGTTCAGAACTGAGGTTTGAAGTCACAAAGCACCAAGGAGCATCAGTTACTAAACTGGAGAACAGCAAGCCTGACAGACGAAACCCAGTGATACCCTGAAACACAAGGATGTTCACCCATCCCCGTCAGGTACATCTGAGGTGAGTAAAAGCCTCCAACCTGTTTTTACATCTGCAAACAATTCTGTTAGGATGAAAGGCTAAACATGATACCCGTGAAAGAAAAGTTGGATGAAGTGCAGGGACTTCTGCTTGTTTATCAAGGCTTTTTTATTTGAGTGCCAATCTGAGTATCAAACAAGTGTTGATTTCAAATCAAACGGAAGACAGTGTCAACTGTGCTTGCTTAGAGCAGTACTGAGTAATAACAAGTCTCTACATACTACTGTTAACACAAGACCTAGATCAGTGGCTCCCAAGTAGCACACTTAATGCTAAACTTACATTTCAATGACTTCAATTTTCACAGCAATTTGGTAGTACATTTTGTAGCTTTATATATGTAAACACAGAACTATGGATGTATTCTCCAAAATACTTTACTAAGAAAGTAGGCGCTGCTTTAGGGCCGGGGACCTAGGCAACTTTCTAAGTCAACAGTGTTCTTGCAGAATTAATAGCAACTATGTCTTTTTCCTTTCTCCAGCTGATTTTCACTCCTAGATGAGCTTGAGAGGCAAAACCCCAGCCCCTTTCTGGCTTTCAGGATTGCAATCTGAGCTACAGAGGAAAGAGAATCAATTAGATCCACCTCCACTAGGTGGCAGTAAAATCCTACTACCAGAAGTTTAGGCACTCCCATGTGATCAAAACCAGCCTGATCAAGCAGAAAGTCAGAAATCAGACAAACACAAATCACATGGCAAATCAGTAGTCACTATGCTTAAAATTGAAAAGTTAATGTTCAAAAAACCCAGTAAACCTCCACAGCTACTTTATATGACTCAGTGAAAGGCTGGGTATGGAAAAGACTTTCAGTTGCTTTCATTAAAAGTGGTAAATTGAAGGAAGTCCTATCAATAACACACAGACTACATGACAACTGCTTGCAGAAACAATAGTATTTAGGCAGGAGACCTCAATATTTTCATTTTCCATTCTTCAAATTTATTAATTTCTTAAATAAATCAAACCTTTCTGAAAAGAAACATTAGTCTCTTAACACAGCACTAGGAAAAAGGTAAGCAACCAAAAGACATCCAAAAAAATCTCCTTACCATAGTTATTCTATTTTATAACACACATTGCAATTTCTCTTAAATGTATTTACTTATTTTGGACACAAAGTCTCACTCTTAGCCCAAGCTGACCTGGAATTCATCATGTAGCCCAGGCTAACCTCACACTTGCAGCAGTAACCCTGCCTCTGCTTCCTCAAAGCTGGGATATGGATCTGTGTCACCAGGGCCAGATATCATATTTTTAAAAAGCTACAGTTTTCCAAAAGCAGATGGTATTTTAGTATTAAAACAAAGCACATAAAGAAATTTCAAACTGACGAAGGCCATCTCCTAAGAGTAAATGACAATTGGGTTTTCCTAAATAGTGGTTAAATGCTTTAAAGTTCTATTTTAAAATAGCCACCTTGGAGTGAATTTTCACGTAATAATTCTTTAATATGAGTAGTTTTAAAAATGCTTCAAGATCCCCCACAGAGCAGCTGTGAGCCCGAGTGTAGTGTGGTCCCGCCATGCTGCGAGCAGGAACATGGGCAGACACATCGTACAGAGTAGAACTGAATATTTATTACTTAGAGGAGAGAGAGTGTGTGGAGTGTGGGGGAAGAAGAAGAGAAAGGAGAGACAGAGAAAGGGCCCGAGAGAGAAAAGAGACATGCGTGCCAAGAGGGGACAGACAGAATGTAAGATGGTGGGGGAGTGCAGGGGTCGTCGGGAGTGGGCGTGGCTTCTCTTAAAGAGACGAAAACTATAACAAGTAGTATTTCTAATTATTATTTTAAAATTCAGAACGAAGTATTTCTGAAAAGCAGTAAGCATTTTTCAAACATTCTGACCAGTCTTTCAGGCTCTGAATTAAGTAAAAACCACGTTAATTAGAATGATCATTTATTTAGGCTTTGGTCATTAATTTAAAAAGCTATTTTGACTTTAATAAAAAACTACCCTATACTCCTTTAAAAAATGAGAAAAAAATCCAATGGTTTCCAGAAGTTTCTAGACTACACACAGTCCAAACCTAAGTGGGAAAACACTTTCAGAGGTAACTTACTAATGTGCAGCAGTAACAGCAGAGGGTGCTGGCACTCAAAAACTGGCACACACACGTGCCTACCAAGATGGTTATGCAGCAGACCCTCGGAGGGAATTCAAGGTTCTTCCCAACCTGTCAGCGTACTACAGATTATGCAAGACACCGCACTTTGTTACATCACAACATTGTTTATTATGTGAATTTTTTTACAATACAAACAAAAAATACATGTATGCAATATATGGATACAGCTAAATGCAGAATGGTGACTTTTTTTCTCTTCAAGAGGCCATGATTCCCATTTCTAGTAAAACAAAAGACTGAGTATAGGTAGAAACAGGTTGGTCGTTAGCTTCACAATTTGCCTAGAAATGATCTACAAATGCATTTTTCCTCCTGCTACTTACCAGAAAGTGTAAAAAGGAAATTAAAGGAAAGTTTCCTCGTTGGTTCCTACCATATGAAAGATGCTATATTCTATTTTAGCAGGGCCAATATGTGGAAAATATCTAAATTAAATGTTATTACAAAAATGAAGCAGTAATGAGATTCTGGCTAAAGGGGCACTAAATGAGAATAATATATATATATATTTAAAGAATCCAAAACAAACAAACAACAAAAAAGGCTGTTATAAAAAGCTCTAGGTGCACTGTAAGCATATAGGTTTTTTCCATGTGTACTTTTAAACAATGGAAGTGTCAAAAAATAGGGTCCACTGTGTTAGACTAAATACATTATTGTATAGGCTGCATCGAATGGAACCTCTGTATTATAATTATCATAGAGAAGCATAGTTTGCATCATATTATGGCAATTTATCCTCAATGAAAACCTTCCAGAGTCCTTGTATTTTAGAATATTCTGTAAACAATCAACCCACCAGAACATGATTGTACAACAGTAAAATGTTTTCTTGCATTAAACTGAAGACATCTTTTTAATTTAAAAAAAGAAAAAAAGAAAATGTAGAAAGGTACTCAGAGTTGTTAATTTCTAAGTACACAAAATCCTAGACAATTCAAGGCATCTTAATCTCCTTCGAGAACAACAACAAAAAAATATTTTTTTTCATGCTGTTAAATCCATCATTATGGATAAAATTGGTGCAAATTGGTCAAACGGATCCAACAAACACTGATGTCCAAGCTGGCATATTGGCAACTAATACATAACTGGTGGTCAATAGAGTTTAAAAGATCTTGCCTTTCTTCTTGTTCTTTTCCAAGGTTCTAAATGAAAAAAGAAAATAACGAAGATGAGTTGCTATATTATAAAAGCCAAAAGTAACAAAACACAGAAACAGCTAATCCAAATACAACTATGTTGGAATTTCAAAAAATACATTTTCATTGTAAAAAAAAATCTAAAACATTTAAAAATAAACAGTGAACCACTGTTATCACATAGAAAGTATTTTCTTAGACAATCAAATGTTTGACAAAATTCCAAAACAAGTAGTAAAAGACAGAGTGAAGCTCCATTTTACTCATTTTAATTTATAAGAAATTTTTTTCTAAAATTCAATTGTAGAAAATTTAAAAGATAAACTCTGGTGCCTTTTTTACTGTCGGCTGCATTCTTTATATCTGCTTTGACAAACGTGTTTTCTTCTTTGGAAAGAACGTTCATAGGAAGGTACTACAACAATGGCTAAGTATGAAAGGGCCTCACTAGGAAAGTGAATCAGAGACTCCTCAAAGGGACTTCACATTCTCAATTTTAAATAACACTAATCAAAAAAAGAAAAGTAATGTCTAAACAATATTGAGTTTTATACATATTGAGATAATTAGCAGTATTACAAATTATATGTGTCATATTTACCTTAAAGAGTTTATTCTAAAGATAAAATTGAAGCATCTCCTAAGGGATAGGAAGCACAGATTCTGCCTAGTATTTGCAAGACATCAGGTTTAATCCCAACACCTGAAAACATCATATCCAACACTTGAGCTGAGGAGGTGAAAACACTATTACAGTACACCAAATGAACCTATTCATTTAAAAACATTTATTTATGATAACAACTCTGCTTGGGGATTGTAATGGTTTTAATGAGAATGCCCTTAGAGGCTCACATTTTTATTTGAATAGTTGGCACCCAGTTGGTGAACTACTTAGAAGGATTAGGTGATGTGGCCTTATTAAAAAGAGGTGTGTTGGGCTGAAAAGATGGCTCAGAGGTAAAGAACACTGGCTGCTCTTCCAGAGCCCATGAGTTAAATTCCCAGCAACTACAGGGTAGCTCACAACCATCTATGAGATATGATGCCTCTGCTCTCAGCTACTGGTCCAACATCATACCTGCCTGCTGCTATCCTTGTTCTTGTCATGAGGGTCATGGGCCCTAACTAACACTTTAAAACTGTAAGCCCCAAAATAAACTCCTTCTCTTCAAAGTTGGTCATGATACTTTACTACATTAATAGAAGCCTAAGACAGAGATGTATAATAGCCTATGGACTTTTAATTTCAAAAATAGATAAAAAGTTCTTTATTAAAATATCAATACATCCATTTCTTAGGCATCCTGATATTAGTTACCTTGAAGAGTTTTGCTGCTCTAAAATGCGTTGTTGAGCTTCCCAGTTTGCTTTCTCTTCTTCAAACTGGCGACGTTTTTCCTCTAATTCTTTGTGTTGTGCTTCTAAATTCTTTTTCATTTGTTCATGACGCCGCTGGAGCTAAATCGGAATCATAGATGAAACAACTGCTTAATAAATTTAGGACAGACAGTCTAGTGCCAAGTGTGTGCACTAGTATCACAATGCCAGGGTGCCACCTAACAAGCACTGCTGAGATTCCTTCCATTGCAGAATCTGCCACACAAGCGTCTCCAGAAAGGAAAACAGAAAATAACCACTTTTTAAAATGAATGTAACAAACTTCTATTTGTGCATATTTTATAACAGATGACTGTTTTCTCATCGTTTTCCCTAATTCACAAGTGTAATGGAGGTTGAACAGACGAGTTAACAGCTGTGGACTACAGACCAGAGGGTGACAATATGGAGTACATAATCCCAAATCTCCTAGTTCCAGGTTCAGAGGTCTAAACAGCAGCTAGAGGAAGTAGTTAATGAAGGACCTGTAAGTTCTAATGATCCTGGTAGTGGATAATGCCCCACAGTCCCTGGAAAGGAGTGGCTCCCAAACATTATTCTTCATACAAATTTTACTCGTGGTGCTTGCTAAAAATACAGAATCCTAAGGCATAATCTAGATCCATGGATTTGAACCTTCAGATTTTACATGGAGAGATCATGACTTTCAAGAGGCAGGTCCCAATGATCCTATGCTTTTGATCCTTCCAAGGCTAAAAACTAATGCTGTAAAGAACTGCTGGCTGATAGGTGTTAATTACAGAAACAAAAACCTGACATCTAATGAATAATCAGAAAAATTACTCCATTGCAGCACTAGCCAATCTGTTCCTGAAGAAAACAATCAACTACTAAAAAGAAAAAAAAAAAGGGAGAAAAAATAGAAAAAAAAGAGCAGATTGAGTCACACTACACCAGATGCTGAATGACTGTTGAGATTATGCAGCTGCCCCAGAATTATATGCACTAATGATTTATTGGTAAATTAATACCTTGAATTTGAAGTTTAATATAACTTTCCACACAATCTGTTTTATTTTGTGAACCCAAAAAAACCAACTTTTTAAAAATACTACTGCAAAGATTTCATCTAATTCCTATAAAAGGAAATCACACTTATTCTAAGGTGTATAAAATCTGAGGTGAAACCTTCTCCATGATAGCAATTTACTATGAAAAACGAAACAAAAGAGACTGTAAATTTTGTACCAGAGTTGGTATAAACAAATACAAAGCAATCATATACACACAATTCAAAATAGTAATTTCCTCTGGGAAAGAGAGAAGACATATAAAGACAAGGACACACAGAACTGAAATGAATTCATAGAGTTATATTTTTTAAGCTGGGAGAAGTAGGCTCACAGCTGTTTACTCTTTACAAGTAAGTAATACAATTATTTTACAAATGAATATCTTGTAAGTAAAAGCATAGGTCACAATTAGTTAGCTGTATTGAGAAGTAGAAAATCTTTCAAATATTAAAGAAGCAACAGGCCTGAAAGACAGATCCTTAGGTGGTAAAGGGGGCTGAGTTTAATCCCCAGACTCCACGTGGCAGGAGGAAAGAACTGGCTCCCACATGTTGTCTTCTAAGCTCCATACCAGTGCCATTATATGCATTTACCCACACACAAATAATAACTAAATCTTATTAAAGGATATAAATTGTAACTTAAAATATACCTTCTGAAGTTATCTAGGGCAGCAACCATAATTAAAACACATACACATATTGTCTTTATGCTGGCTTATGCAGCTGTAGCGTTGACTAATATATTTTATCCTTTCTCTCCTGTGGATTAAGTGAGGATAGGCAGTAATATCTATGTTATATGTCTACAGCATGGTCTAAGTGACAAAATACCTCAGAAACTTGGTATTGCATATGTCGTAAGACGATGTTAAAGATATTAGCAGTTATGTCAAGTAATTGCAGCAGAATAGATTCAAGAATAAATTAAGCAAAGCCGAAAAGGTTTCTATGATTTATTTGTATATAATAAATATGTTTATACATGTAAATAAAAGGGTTTACAAACTATCTTAGGGATGTTGGTAAGCATACTGGAGTGGGGCTCGATGAAATAAGAGGAATAGACACATTCAATAGGCTGGCATTTGGGAAAAGGAAACTCAGCCCAGCTTTCTTCACAAGTCCCTCCCCAAGAAGGGCACCAATTACTGGCAATTACAGGCAGGTGACAAAAATGCTAGTTTGTTTAGAAAATGACTTATAATTGTGTTTCTTATTGTTCGTTATAACTAGTAATTTATTGTAGGTATTTTAACTATTTTATATTTTGTCCTCCTACTCAGTATACTGTATGTAAGCCCTTACATACTGAAATATGTAATTTTATAATAAAAATAGTACTTTTATTCCTCTACTTTTACTATATTAAACTATTTTTGAAAATGTATAGATGTAATTTACATTTCAATAAACATACTATTTAAAAGAAATACTGACAGCCTGTTAATAAAACTGATTACCTCTGCTTCAGAGTCCTTCAGTTTTTGAACTTTTTCTTTGACCTTCATCTCAAACACCTGTTCCATTTCCATCTCCATCTTCTTCATCTTGGCTACATGTTCCCTTCTTTCTTCTTCCATCTGTGCCAGAGGGCTCCTGTTACCAACAATTAAGAAAAAAACATTAAGGTCTAAAAAAGAAAATTGTAATACTACATTATGAATGAGCTGATAAAGAAATGAGATGCTATAGATGCCATTAACATTAGGCTGCATAAAAATATTTGCATTATTTTGACATAAATTCCAAATCTTATGTAACACAGATGGGTAAAGAATCCTTTAGAAACTGTAAAATATATAAATGTGCTCATAACCATAGAGGTTAACAGGTGTTCATCTAAATATCAATCTCTACAAGTGATTGTTATGAAGCAGAGTTAGGAAGGCGCTTCTCTAAATCTTGTGTACCTCAGTCCTAAAGACGATTGCCCTGGCTAGTTTTTTATCTGACTTGATATAAGTTAGAGCTACCTGAGAGGAGGAAGCCTCAGTTGAGAAAATGTCTGCATAAGACTGGGCAGTGGGCAAGTCTGTAGGTCATTTTCTTAATTAGTGACTGAGAAGGGAAGCCCAACCCACTGTGGCAGCCATTAGCCAGCCAGACATAGAAACAAGAAAATAAGAAAAGGTAAAGAGCTCCGAGGCAATAAGTAGATAAAGAGAAACAGATTAAATTAAAAGAGCTAACCAGAAATGTGCCTAAACGAGGCAGAGCATTCAAAACTAATAATAAATCTGTGTCATAATAAATCAACCACATACCAAAAGGTACCCCAAAGTGCCCTTACCAGTTGAGCCATCTTGTTAGCCCAAGAAATTGCTTGTAACTTTCTCTTCAAAATATATATTTATCTGTTTTGTTTTGTGCTATATGAATTATAAATATGAGTGGCAAAAGACAAGAAGCATACAGTTCTTTATTTAAAAGAACAACAGAAAAATAACCATCCCAACAATTACAGGTAAGGCATAAAACTATCAAGACAAAACTTAACAGTGAAATTTTCTGCTACTACAGAGAATATAACTCAAACCTCCTAACGTAACAAGAATTTCAAGATAGGAAATGGAATATTTATCATGTAAACATTTTTTCTGTAAAGAAATATATACATACTCAGGTATATATGTATACGTACTTAGTAAGTTGCCCTTTATTCTTGTTGTTATCCACGCCATTGTAAGTCACTGCAGCTAGCTTTCTGCTTCTGTAGTTCTCATAGTGCACATTATTAGTAACGTCTTTCAAATCCTGCATGTGTGTTCTGTCATAAACAGCAAGAGTTTGCTCATGTCAAAGGCTATGGCACAATTAAAAACTTCACCAAGACAAAATTTCAGACAAAATATTAGTCATTTATATGTCTTCATTTACAAACAAAGCAGATTAAAACAAACAGGTTTAGGTTCCAAATTCAAGAGCCCTGAATCACTCAAACTACTGAAGAATAAACTTTCTAGCAAAGAAATAGTCATTGCCACTAGTTTAACTTAGTTGAGAATGAAAAGTGGATTATTATTGAAGCTCATAATCTAGCAGAAACTGTTTTCCCTTGTACAGTTATTCACAAAGTAATATTGAGTTTTCACAGGTTAATTTATATAAGGACCACAACAGATTAAGTTATGTACCAACTATAGAACCAACTAAAAAATCTTTTGCTTGTTTTTTTCCATGTAGCTCTGGCTTTCTTGGAACTCACTTTGTAGATCAGACTGGCCTCAAACTCACAGAGATCCACCTATCTCTGCCTCCTGGGTGCTGGAACTAAAGGCCACCATCACCCAGCTCCAACTAGGGTATCTTAATTTAGATAACTTTCTGTTATCTAACATCAACACACAGAGGATAAAGTATACAATATGGATAAAGGATATGATGACATAATCCTTTAATGATTAGAGATGATAAAGACTGAGTAATATCCTCCCTTTTCTCGTTCCCCATTACACTCAGAACTTCCTGTATATACCATCTTTACCATTTTGCAACTTCCTTTGGAGACAAAAATAAAGATAGTGTTTTATCCTTCCTTACACCCAAATCCCATCCATTATGAAGTACCTCACCCCACATCATAAACACAAAGTAACTTAATTACCTGGTTTATCTTCTACTGTCTGACATTTCTTAACAGTTCTCTAAAAGTTTACTTATCTTAGTACTAAGTTTGGGTTTTCCAGTCTCCTCTCCTTTTAAACCCTGTCTACCACTACACTCACTTTCTCTTCCAGCCTAAACAGTTATATCTAAGTTTCTGCAGCTCTACTTTAGTCAAGCTGGGCAGTTCCCAATTCCTAGAACACCTCACAGGTGAAATGGAACAGCTCATACTAATTTGTTAAATCTTTTTGAACTGGCATTAAGTTATAAGTGATAACAAATTATGTCTTTAACTATATTGTGAGCTTGTCTTTAACATAAACATGTATTTCATTGTATTCTTTATACAGATAAATACCAGATAATAGGAACTTTAAATAATGTAACAATTGCATACAGAAGATAAGATAAATAGTATTTAAGAACGAATCACTGTGTGAAATTCTCCAGGTGAAAAATAAAGATAATTGTACAGTGCTAACATGAAACAGTATTGTTAGCAGGATGTGGTGTTGCACACCTGTACTTCAAACACTTAGGAAATAGAAGGAGCAGGATGAGATCAACAGGCCAGCCTTAGCTACACAGAGAGTTCAAAGCCAGGCCAGAGTTCAAAGACATTATCTAAAACTACACCAAAATTAAAAACCAAAGGGAAAAAAAACAGTATTTTATATAATTTAATACTCATTTAATCACTACATCATTAAGAAACATTATAGCAAAGTAAATTTATAAATAGAAATAAGATATTGCTAAACTCCATGTATTTAAAATATCATTTAGCATAGCAATCACCTACTTCACTAAACTACTACTCTGTGACTGTCTTATTCTGAAGTTTAGAGGCTGAGTATAAAGCCGCATTTACTTCTATCCGTGTTTTTTTTATGTAATCCACTCCTCCATCTGAAAACTCAGTAGAAATTTTCTCTAGTTTCTAGGTTTTCGCTGCTGATCACTGCTCTCTTCTCTCCTTTTTTTTTTTTCTACGTGATTTCTGTACCATTCACTCCTACACCTTCAAAACAGTGTTTCATCTTTCTTCTTCAGTTGCTTTCCTTGGTTTGCCAACAGCAGCCAGTTCTTAGCAAAATGACACTTCTTTGAATTTACCTTTCCTAGAAGCAAGTATAAGTCTTAACATTGGCCTGTAAGATAATTACTTGAGATTTAGACTGACATTGACATTTCCTTCCTTCAAATATTTATTAAACAGTAGGTGCCTTTATCTTAGAAGTTACATGAAACACTTATCCTTCTTACAGCAAATAAAACTAGAAATTTTATTTTTATTTTATGTATATGAGTGTGTTGTCCACATGTGGGACTATGTATCACTTGTGTGGCCATTACCTGTGGCAGGCAGAGCAGTGTACTGGATTCCCTGGCACTGGAGTTAGAGAGTTGTGAGTCATCATGTTGGTGCTAAGAACGGAACCCACGTCCTTAGGAAGATCAGCCAATGCTCTAGATCACTGAGCCATCTCTTGAGCCCAATGCTAGAATTTATATTTTCAGACAAGCATGAGATGTCTTGCTGATGCACTTATTAAATACTCCTGCAAGTTGGTCAGTTTCCTCTGCAATACTCATACTAAGAAGTCCTCCTTACCAGTTGTGAGGCTACAAACATTCAAAGTGGCTTTTGAGCCCCTTCTACAATGTTTTAGATACGTAGGTAATTACTAGTTATATATATTTTAAATACATAAGAAAAAGTGATATGACAGTGAGAAGCATAGATTTTAAAACCCAGATGGAGCACAATGATGTATTTAAATAGTCCTTATATGCTGTCATGAGACATTGTGTTTGTTTAAAGACAGGATCATGGGATGTAGCCTTGGGTGGTTTGGAACGTATCATGTAAGTAGGTTGTCCTCCAACTCACAGATGTTCATCTGCCTCTGCCTACCGAGCACTGAGATAAAAGGTAGTGTACCACCATGCCCTCCTGAGGTACTATATTCTTTTGAAATTTCTCTATAAGGATCAAAATGAAAGAGAACAATTGGCAACAGAATCTAAAGCATGTACTCTCGAAACTGCTGTGAAGGCTTTCCATTCTTATACACTTGATATGCTCTTACAATGTGAAGTAAACCCATTTATTATCTTCACTTTATCATCTACTTCCTGCCAGAGAACCCTGGACATGTGTTCTCTTGGAAAAGATGCTAAAGTCTTTGATGTCAAACTTTCTCTCATTGATTATATAGCTTCTGAGGGAGCACTCAGAGTTTTGTGAATCATGCCCCCCTTCATTATGGTAATTACCTTGCTAGTCCATGATTTCCAATTAGCATTCATAAATGTGTTACAATTTCTTTTTTTTAATATTTTATTTATTTATTATGTATACAATATTCTGTCTGTGTGTATGTCTGCAGGCCAGAAGAGGGCACCAGACCTCATTACAGATGTTTGTGAGCCACCATGTGGTTGCCGGGAATTGACTCAGGACCTTTGGAAGAGCAGGCATTGCTCTTAACCACTGGGCCATCTCTCCAGCCCATGTGTTACAATTTCTATAGTGCAAAAGAGATTCCTGTGTACTGAGAAAATGGACAGTACTGTGAATATAAATATATCAACTTCAGGTTACATCCCAAACCAAGGCTTGAAGACAGCACATGGCAGGGGCTTGGGGAAAACATAAAAGAAGAAAAGTAGAAACAGAAGGAAAACAAAGAGATGTAATACAGATTAACATGAAAACACTCCAGCTCATTTTGACCACCTCTCTGTTCCTATTTTCTCTAGTTCCACTATAATTTTTCACAATTTCCTCTCTGTGGCTACTATTCTAATTCAAGTCCTTGGGTAATCTAATCAAAATATTCTCAATCCTACTCTCTTAACTTCCCTTCTCTTTCAGTACCAGGAAAGGTAGTTTAAAGAACTAGCAGGAAGATTGGTTTTGCTTATGCAGTTCCAGTATGTTAAACTGCTCCATTTACCAGCTACTAACCTGTGTACCTTAAACACTCAAAAGTATTTCTTTTGACTAGTGCCTTTTCTAACCTAGTTTCCAAATCTATTACTGAATTAAATCCAACAAGAAGTATAATATTGAAAATATGAAACTACAATCGCAATCAGAGAGGTTGCCTCCAGTAGCTGATGGGAACGGATGCAGATACCCACAGTCAAACACTAGGTGGAGAGAGATCCCAGGTTGGGGGTCTACACTGGGACCCTCCCCTTGAGGCTCAGGGAGAACACCACAGAAAGGGTGATGAGGAATTGTGGGAACCAGAAGGTAGACAACCCCAAAGGAAGAGAACCCCAAGAGAGCACAGCCCATGAAAGCAAATAAGCAGGTCTCATGAGAGATCACAGAGACTAAAGTGGCAATCACAGAGCCTCCATGGATCTGAGCTAGGTCTCCTGTATATATGTTATAGTTGTTGGCTTGGTGGTTTTTTTTTTGGGGGGGGGGGGGGGGGGCTCTGACAGTGGGAGTATCTCTGACTGTTTACTTGCTTTGGGGACCCGTTTCCTCCTACTGGAGGCCTTTGGCCTTGCCTTAATGTGAGTTTTTGGAACTAGTATTATTATATCTTGTGCCATGTTCAGTTTATGTCTCTGGGAAGTCTGCTCTTGTCTAAGGGAAGAGTGGAGCGATGGGGATAAATGGGGGAAAGTGGGCTTGGAAGGGAATGGGGAGGGGTGGAGGGAGAGGAAGCTGCAGTAGGAATGTATTGTACAAGAGAAGAATAAACAAAAGTTTTTCAAAAAGGACTGTTGACAAAAAAAAGTATAAGACTAGTATTTCTTTGTATTCCTCACTTAGTATTTTTGCTAATGACTTCAAAACCTTAGATAAACAATATAAATCATTGTCATGCATTATTTTACTTCAACAGGAGACTGAAGATGCCAATATATAGTAGTTCCACTTACAGAGGCACAAAGTAAGTCTTCCAAAGTAACTTTCTTTAGGTGATTAAAAAAAAAAACTTTGCTATTTTCATTGTTGCTCACACTTACCTTATCAACATATTTCTTAGAATTGTAAAATCACAATGTTCACCATTTTCAACTATAGAAAAGGAAGATAGAGCATACATATTAACTTTAATAAATTTTATCTTTTCATAGAAATAAAAAATAATACCAAGGAGAAAATATTTAAAGTGTCTACATGAGAATTTTATTAAGGTTTAATACTAACACAGACCCCAAGGAACAATAGGCAAATGTACCCTAATACTAATACTATGGCATTTTAAACACACTACTTTTCTTTGTATGTGTGTGTCATATATATGTGGGTGCATGTGCACGTATCTGTGAAGAAAAGGTTGACGACAGCTGTTTCCTCCACTCTCAATTTATTTACAGAGGCAGGATCCCACTGAACATTTTATCCACTAAGCCACCTCCCTCAGCCCTTCTTCATGTAGTTTAATTCTAGATGACAGCCATATAATGAATGAACTCTCTGAAAATAAACACTGGTAATTTGAAAGAAGAGGCACTTTCTACTTATTAGTACAGAACACATTCATCAGATGATATATTAAAAACAAACAAACAAACAAACAAAAAACCTTAGCTGGGAAGTGGCAGTGGCACATGCCTTTAACCCCAGCACTCAGAAGGCAGAGGCAAGGCATGAGTTGAAGGCCAGATTGGTCTACAAAGCGAGTTCCAGGACAGCAAGGGACATACACAGACACCTGCCTCAAAAACAAAAGCACCAAAATAATAAAGCAAAATCAAAAAACCTTCATGTTGTTGTTGAAAATATTAAAAACCTCCTTAGGACAATCAAAATGAAAGGCTAATCAAGAGCTCTAAGATTCATTATTAAAAAAAAAACAAAAACAAAACCACTAAATGGGGATAGCAAGGAAGTGGGACTAATAATAATATATAAATAAAGTAATTGCTTCAGAGCATATTTCTAAAGGATATAAAGTTCTAAAGCCCTAAATTGGTAATTGCAGGTTTCCTGGGAACAAAGTTGATGGTCCTTGGGCAAAAACCATAGATAAAGACAGTAACTTGGCATGATTTTATAAAAATTGTGCAATTACATCAACTCACATAACAAATAGCAACTCCAACTTAGTACAATATAGATTAAATATTAGAGTAAACTAATATAATGAATACAAACTCAGAAATATTTCTCTTGCTAATATGGTATCTGGGGTTTGGTGTCATCACTAAGAGGTTATTGGCATTGAAAACCAACAAACTAGTAAATTAACTAAAAAGGTGACCTCCTCCTTGAGGAAAGAAGAGGCACTGGTTATGTGATTGTGGCTGGCTCTCTCCAAACTGCTCAGTTTCCAAAAATTTGTAAGATCCTAGGAAATAACCTCAAGCCAGGGGAAAACCCCTGAACTACAAAGCTCGTTTTCAAAAAGAGACAGATACTGGCTTGACAGTGGTGCAGGCACAGGCAAGTGGTCAATGGCAACTGATTGTGAAGTATTACAACTTGAGGATTTGATCTGATTTAGGCAACATATCTGAAAAACAGAAATATCTTTATCTTCAAGAAGAAAAAAACAAAGACTAGGGAAATGAAATAAAAGCTATTCTTGAAAACCCAGATTGTACCATACACCGCGTATTTTATACTACTTATAATACACATTTTAGCGCCTTTGAGACCTTACATTAAGTTATCCACTGAAAAGAACCTTACCTTCAGCCACACCCCAAGGATACTGTCTTCCTCTGACTCTTTTGCCATTAACTTCGATGATAGTATTACTACCTACCACAGCAAGAGGTAAACGATCCTATAAAATAAAGTGTTATTGTAAACAGATCTCTACAGTACTCATGACTCAATTATAAATAATTTACAAGAGTCAACATATTACCAAAAATTTGCTTGGATAGTACCTATATTATCAGTCAAGCAATAAATATTCAGGAAATTTTATTTTTTGCTTTTGGGTTTTGCAAGACAGAGTTTTTCTGTGTAGCACTGGCTGTAGACTAGGCTTGTGTTGAACTCACATAGTCTCTGCCTCAGTGCTGGGATTAAAGGTGTGTACTACCATATCCGGCCTAGAAATTGTTATTCAAACGGTATACTACCAAGGTAAACAATGAATAAAATTTCATTTTTGTTAAAATTTTAAGAATAATATCATATGCACTGGTCAAATTAGTTGTTAAAAATTACTCTAAAATCTTTCCTATAAGGGGAGACATAGACTATAAGATACACTAATATTTAGAAGACCAAAAAAAAAAAAAATTAAGGCCATGAATTTATCTGATCATTAACCTTAACACTATGAAGTGCAGGAAACATTCTGTATTCTAAACTATAACTTCAGAACCCCAAACCCACTTTTGAATCTGTATTCACTTATTTTTAATACAGAGTTTAACTTTTCAATATTTTCATAGCTACCAGAATTATAGAAGCTATTTTGCAAAACCTCTAAAATATATCAGATATGAATATTTTATCAATTATACAGTAATTAGACCAGCATTCGCTAAACCACTTTAGCTTCAGGTACTCAAAACTATTTTAAATTAAATTAAAGCACACAAACTTTAATGCCATGCATGATGGTGGTGCACACCTTTAATCTCAGCACCTGGGAGACAAGAGGCAGGTGGGTTGAGGCCACCTTCGTCTACAAAGCAAATTCCAGGACAGCCAGGGCTACACAGAGAAACCTTGCAGGGGCACACACACAGGAAAACGCACAACAACAACAAAAAAAATTAAAATGAGTTTTTGTTGACTTTTATAAAAAGACAAATGAAACAACAGTTTTATCAGGCTCCTGAAAGATCAAAACACACAAAAATCTCTTTCCTGCTCATATTTGTGCCTTTGTTTTGTTTTGTTGTTGTTTTTTCAAGACAAGGTTTCTCTGTAGCTTTGGAGGCTGTACTGGAAACTAGCTCTTGTAGATGAGGCCTGCCTCTGCCTCCCGAGTGCTGGGATTAAAGGTATGCGCCACCACCGCCCAGCTTCATATTTGTTTCTTAAGGAGAAAAAAAAAAAACATAAACTTGAAACCAGTTAACTGAATGTGATGGTAGTCTCCCACCTGCTCCATGCAATGCCCTATGCTATGTGTTGCTATTCAAAGGTAACTGTAAAGTTGATAAACATTAAGAAATATCCATATTTGTTTTTGTAAGCCAACTAGTTTAAAAGTGAAACTTCTGTTCTTTCATATTAGAGTATAATTAGAAGGCCCAAATACTTCACTGTGCATAAAAACAAACCTACCTTTATCTTCTTAACCAGCTTATTCTCTTCTTCATCATCTGTTTCTGGAAATTCATATATTTTAATTTTATGTTCTTGGATTTCTTTCATTATCTACAACAGAAGCAGGAAAAGGACACCACATATAATGACATAAGCAGTTATTTTTCCTTTTTCTTGGATTTTCATGAGACACCTCAGTTTCTGGTCATTTGTTGTTCATATTTAAATACCAAAACCTATTACTGGAGAACAGGGAGAGAAGGTAAAAATGCTTGCCATGAAAGTCTGGGAGATTTATAAACGTAGAAGGGGAAAGAAAAAAAAATACCAACTCCACAAAATTATCCTCCAACATCTACAAGTATGACGTGTCATGTACACCATCTTCCTTTCACTCTTGTGCACACACTCACACAGCAAAATAAAATTTAAAATATGTTTAAATTCAATTACTTCAGAAGTGTCAATCTTACGGTTATCATCCAAAAATAATTCTACAAATGAAAGAGTATTTATTCTAGAATGGCATTTATCCAGGTGGTCTCTATCTACTATAATGGTTTTTGATCATTCGTTTAAAATGAATGTGATTCTTTCTCTTAATATAACTTATTATAAAACCTAAGCAACATAGCTTAAAGTCACCTAAAAATAACAGAAAAGGGTAAGTAAAAAAATTACAACATTACTCCTAGGAGAAAGGTATACACTCTAACAGAAAAAGTTATTACATGAACAAGCATACACACATAAATCAAAGGCTAGACATGCAAGTTAGGAGAAAATACACACTAGAAGTAAAGAACCTCAAGACTTAATAATAACAGAAATTATCTATTTCAAATTAAATTACCTTGTCTAAGAGGATTTCAAATTCACAAAGGAAAATACAGAGTCCAACTAACAGTCACCTACCTATACAATTCAAACTCCCCAAACAACCCTCCCCTTGTAACTTTTACTACAGTGCTCACAACAAAAGTCTCCAACAGCCATATAGAGGCTGTAAACAAAATGAATTATATGATTACTATGCTAAACAGAAATAAACAGGAGTAATCCCTGCATAGTGTAGTACACACCTGTAATCCGAACACTTGGAAAGCTGAGGCCAGAGGACTGAGAGTTCTTTGCTAGCCTAGGCTGAAGAGTGAAGACCTAGCTCAAAAAAGAACAAGTTATCAATGGCCATCAATAGGACCATGCCTTTAACAATGGGCATCTATCTACCCTAAAAACAAATCAATGGCTGGGCAAGTTGGCACAAACCATTAATCTCAGCACTCAAAGGCAGGTTGATCTCTGTGAGTTCATAAGGTCATCTTGGTCTAAATAGTGAGTTCCATGATAAGAGCTACACAGTGAGACCCCTGTCTTGAAGAATAAAAATGAAAATACCTTTTGCCACAGACAACAAAGAAGTAGGACGGATTCCACTGAGGAGAGGTAACAAGCCATGTGGCAGAACATAGATTAATATCAACGAGTTAATTTAAGTTAAGAGATAGTTGGGAACAAGCCTAAGCTAAGGCCAAGCTTTCATACTTAATAATAGGTGTCCATTTCATTATTTGGGAGAAAGTGGACAAGGAAAGTCCAACTATGAAAAATTGCTAGCTTAAACAGCAGTGATCCTTGGTCAAAAGTTATACACTAAAATTATGTAAATGAGCATTTTCAAAATAAATGCTAAAGCCCCAACTTCCTCTATATAACTAATGTCTAACAATTGTTTTGAAAAAATTCCAAATCATTTCCTGAGTAAGAAATATGGCTCTAAGCATAAAGAAAAGAAACTTGAGCCTAGAAGCACAGTACAGAGTTAAAGTACATATACCAAAGGCCTTGAGTTCATTGCTGAGTGAAATGAAAAAAAAAAGGATGGGGGATGGGGGGCAGGGGGGAGGGCAGTAGGCACATGACCAATCTTAAAGAAGAAATCATTACTAATACTAATGTATCCTTTCAACATCTAACTTCTCAGAATAAATCAGTATCAATATAGAGATACAGACTATTCAAGGCAGAAACTTAAGAGGCAAAGATAGAATTGCCTCAACGTGGAGTCCAGTCTGGTTATAGGGACCCCATCTCAAATTACAACAATGGAGAAATAAGACAAAAGAAAGGAGGAGGAGGAAAAGGGGCAAAGAAATAAATGAGGAAAGATGAAAAGGAAGAGAATGAATAGAAAGAGGATGGAGAAAAAAGAAAGGAAGAGGAAAAACATACCTGTGATGAAAATATTGGTAGTAAAAGCTGTCTAAAGATGCCAAAATTTGTATGAATTTAACACCACTTCAAGAACATTTTTCATTTTGTAACAAGTTCTAAGGTATTCTAAAATTCATATTTCAAAGGTTTTAAAAGGTATGTTGTTACACAGAAGCTTACAAAGATAATAAGATAACAAAAATATAAGGCTTATTTTGAATATAATACAAAATCATTTTTTAAATACTGATCTAAAATTTAAAAAAACTATTGGAATAGACAGACTTTCAAAAATTTAACTTAGATTTCATAAATTCCATATATAAAAAACCGAATACAACAAAATGAAAAAAATGTATCATTAAGAATATTATTACAGCCTGGCAGAGGTGGCATATTCCTTTAATCTCAGCAGTTAGGAAGGAAAGGTAGGTGGATCTCTGTGAGTTTGAGGTCAGCCTGGTTTAGAGTTCCAGATAGCCAAAACTACACAGAGAAACTGTCTCAAAAGAAGAAAAAACAAAACCAAACAAACAAACAAAACTAAAACCAAAAAAGGGGGTGAGAATGGGGGGATTGCTACTGCAATAACAGGGCGTGAGTTTGGGGAAGGAAGCTTACATTCATATTTGTGTGTGTGTGTATTATTTTCTAAACATTTATTTTATTAAGTAATACAAACAAAAGAGTCAAGAGAAAATATGGAAGATAAATAGACTCAAAATAACATATTAATTAAAATGGCTAGAAAATCCAAAAGTTAATTCATTCTTCCTTACCTGCTTTTTAAACTGTTGGCATTCCTCTGGTGTGAGTGTGTCTGCTTTGGCAATTAGTGGGATGATATTCACTTTTTCATGCAAACGTTTCATAAATTCAATATCCAATGGTTTAAGCCTGAAATATACAGTATTTAATATGACTGAATACATCTGTTTGAAGGAACAGATTCTTCACATTAAATGCAATAAGCTTCTTTACTTATCAGAAACACTTTGAAGAGGTACTGGGTCAGCCAACAGGCAGAACAAAAAGGACTTTAAGAAGCAATGGAGTGGTTAAAAAGGCGTTTTGACTCTTGCCTTTGAAACACCCTGGTCACTGGGTTATGCCCCTAAAAGAGGAATTGGAAAAACCACAAAGGTTCCTAGTAGAATTTCCTAGAATCAGCTTTATATTTATTTATTAAGGTTAACAAGGTAGTTGTTTTTTTTCCCATGAAAAATAGTAGTCCTCTTTCAATATATGCAATTCTTGCTGTCAATTATCTTTCTTAGACAAAATGCTAAAAAGTCAATTTTCAATATGCCTCTCTGTTATTATAATTTGGCTCTGGCACCTAAGACTTCCACTATAGTACCTATCATCACTAATTTGCCCAGAATTCAGCATCTAAAATATAATTGCTTCACCAGTTCTTCTAGAATCCTTAGGATTCTCTTTGCCAGTTAGGTCTTTAACATGTGATTTCCTCAGAATTCTCTGCTAGGTCACTTTCATTTTTAACCTTACATTCTGCATGACTAACATGAATACAATAATTTAGGGAAAAAAATTACCAAATCCATATCCACTCAAAATTTTATCTCACCCAGTAGTCAAGATATGACATTAGCAGGTGATTGTAGGAGGTACTAAGACTACTGTACAGAACCGAGGGATGGAGAGAAAAGCCTGATTCATTTACCAGATTGTACGTAACTTCAGCCTATAGAGAGTAGGTCATTTGTAATTCAAGATCAAATTCACTGTCACATACTTCCAACAAATCTACTAAGTATATATCAACAGGGAAAATTCTGCTCCATCTTTAAAAGTTATTAAGCTGAGCAACTGTTTAGGAATAGGCACAGGAAATAAAAATATTCCCTTATGACAAGCAAGAAATGGCTTAAAGTCACACACATCATTTATATCATATTTCTTCTCTTAAAAAAAACTCTTTACTTCTAAGTGATTTTTAGAAATAAAAAATACCCCCAAAGGATAGAAGAATGTAATTTCATGAGAATCACTAACTCTTGGAAAGAGCCTGAAGGATCTGTTATAAACTCACTGATTCTATTAACTGTACATAGCATCACTAGGCTGACTTCTACGAAACTATGCTAATAAAGTTAAACTAGGGCCAGGTGGTGGTAGAGCATGCCTTTAATTCCAGCACTCAGGAGGCAGAGGTAGGCACATCTCTGTAAGTTCAAAGCCAGCCTGGTCTACTGAGTGAGTTCCAGGACAATTATGGCTTCACAGAGAAACCCTGTCCCCCAAAAAACAAAAACAAACAACAACAACCAAAAAAAAAAAAAAAAAAAAAAAAGCAAAAGAAAAAAAAGTTACACTAGAAAAATTTTTCAAAAAGCA